TTTTACTAGGGAGTCACCTTAACTCACGAGTGTTCTTACTGTTCGATCCTTTTGTTTCTCCGTAAGTTCCTTTACAAAATGACAGTCCGGTTAGTGCTCCTTTGACAATACACAAGCGAAATAACAACGTAATCAAAGAAAACGTACAGGGTCAAGGTTTGACCTAAACTGGAATGAACGTCGGTAAAATCAAGTGACTTAAACGCTCGGACGGATTGGTCCGATTACACAGGACAACCAACAAATCAAACTAGCATTTACATGTAGCATTTTACGTTCTCTCAAACTTCCTCGCGCGTTTCTATTCAACAGTCGTGTCATGATCTTGTGTTGATCACGGCTCTGATAGTTTTAGCAGAATTCNTTCCTTTACATAATGGCAGTCCGGTTAGTGCTCCTTTGACAATACACAAGCGAAATGACAACGTAATCAACGAAAACGTACAGGGTCAAGGTTTGACCTAAACTGGAATGAACCTGGGTAAAATCAAGTGACTTAAACACTCGGACGGATTGGTCCGATTACACAGGACAACCAACGAATCAAACTAGCATTTACATGTAGCATTTTACGTTCTCTCAAACTTCCTCGCGCGTTTCTATTCAACAGTCGTGTCATGATCTTGTGTTGATCACGGCTCTGATAGTTTTAGCAGAATTCTAACTAAATCTCCTCCAAGTAACGATTTTATTATCATTTCTTTATTTAGTATATAAAGCTTTACTCTTTGATTCACCTTCTCACGTGACATTGGTTGTCTGTCTGGTGGACATGTCGGTGAAGGGTTCCTGGACAAAGAAAAGAATGCGAGGAAATGTTGTTGCGTCATTAATATTGTACCCTGATGTACTGGACGTAAGTGCAATTGATAGATAACAAGAAGCCTAAAGGCTTTCAGGTAGGATGCTTTGGCCGATGTGCTAACTCCATCAATTTTGAATCGGCTCTCCGCGTAGAAATAAATCCAAACGGAAACGCTAACATTCAGTTTGCAGTTGTATTTTCTTCAACAAAAAGATAAAAGAATGTGGTTCGCGTTCGAATTTGTATACATTTGATAGAAAGAGTATAAGCATTGTCAACGTTGTTTACTGTTGTGTCCAAGTGGCACAATAATGCCTCACTCGGTTCAAATTTCAAATTTTCATGCAGCTTCAAATTTTTCACTGTGGAAAAGAACTACACTAAAAACGCCGTCCATGGCCTCGTTTGTGTAACTTTTTTCTATGTCGGTGTAGATGTTTAGGTCACGTTAATAGTTCATCACATAAAGGGCAAAATTACTGAATGCTGATTGGCTGAGACAGACGGCATTTTTTCTTAATCACGAGGGCACTTTTGGTAATCAACAGGACATGACTACCTGATGCTGATTGGCTGAGCACGCCTGCATTAAGTTGGTTTTCTGCTTCAAACGGATTTTGAAAAGTAATTTCAGAAATGCATCGCTTCTGATTTTGATCTAAACGCCGTTATTTTATCTTAACGTGAAAGAAAATCGACATGCAGCAAACTCTTTTGGTGGAAAAGCAAAAGGATTTTTCCAACCAAAAATGTATTGATTCGAGGCCTGAAAAAAGTTTG